AGGTTTTGAAATTACAGGACCTCCAGTGAAGACCTAGAAACCCTAGGGCAGGTTATTGAAGACAAAGTGAATTTCTACTTCTAATTTGAGATAGTTATTTTCTTGGATAAATATTAAAACTTCTCTGCTGGGTATGACTGGAAAAAATGAGAATTCCCCTATTAGGTGTCAGTGGCTCACACCTTTAATCTTAGCTACTTGGGAGGCTGAGATAGGGAGGATTGTGGTTCAAGGCCAGCCTAGGCAAATAGCTGGTGAGACCCCCATCTCCAAAATAACCAGAGCAAAATGGACCTGAGGTATGGTTCAAGCAGTAGAGTGCCTGCTTTGCAAGTATGAAGGCCTGAGTTCAAATTCTAGTCCTACCCAAAAAAAAAACAATGAGAACTCCTGTACTTGAAATTTTGAGGTAGATGAGGAAAGGAATTGGGGTAGAAGAACTCCTTCTTCCTGATCTTTCTCTAAATGTAGATCACCATTCTGTAGCTCAGTATTGAAGGAAATGTTGTTTAATTCTTTGGAGAACGTACAGACTGAGTAACATGGTGGTAAGTACAAAGGAGAAAGTAGAATATCAAATGCCTTTAGCTATTGCTCTGTGTGTGGAGGGGGTGCAGAAAGAAGTGAATAAGTGAAAAATTGGATTTCCAAAAATAATTAAGGAACCATTTAGCAAATCCCCACTCTCAGCATGGTTTGGAAGCTAGGTAAGTGACCTGGAGGGATACAATTTCTCATGCAGATGTTGAGTACTAAATGATACAATCACATTCATAGAAACTGTCACACCCTAAGACAGGGACAGTGCTTTCTCAGCGTTCTAAAACTCCTTTGACTGTCTGTTCAAATTTACAGATAACCTACCTTGGCTGGTTAGCTGAAACACTCAGAATAGCTAACATGATTAAAAAAATATTCAACCATGCCAAGTCAGTAACCATTCTGCTTATAAATCTCGTTTAGAAGTAAAAAATGTTTTAAAGGTAGTAAAGTGTGTCCATGTATGCATGTGTGTGTGTGCATGAGAGAGAGAGAGAGAGAGAGAGAGAGAGAGAGAGAGAGAGAGAGAGAGAGGAAGAGAAGGAAGAGGCAAATCAATTGTGTCAACAAAGCAAGAGGATAAAAAGCATCTAAACACCATTGTTAAAAGGGAAGGTACAGGTTAACCTGGGTTCAAATAACTTCTCTCTAACCCATCAGTAGCACATTATCTAAGATACTAAAGTGCTAAATTGGTCAGATAAGAGATGTGCTAAGATGTAAGATCCTCTAAACAATGAGGAAAGAAAATTGAAGTGAAAATTGCAATCTCCACCTGCAAGAGACTTAAGTGAGATGAAGTAAAAATGTTTACAATGGAAGAAGAGAGAGAGAAAATGTGAAGAGGATGATATTTAATAATAAAGATAAAACTGGAGACCTAGAAAGGAGAAAGATGACTGGGGAAAGGGCTAGGAAAGCCAAAGTCATAAAATTCCACAGGGATGTGGAACTGGGGGTGTGGAAAAGCTTAAAAGAGCTTATCAGAGACAGCAGCTCCTCTACTGAACACTGAGTGGACAATTGGTGTCAAAACTGCAGCAGCAGATGTTTTTCTGGAAGAAGAACGGTGGAATAATAGTCACAGGAGAATATTGTGACCTGCAGACAAGGGCTGTATTTCACTGACAGTTGAACAAGAATGTACACAAACAGATCTAGGGGAAACACAGAGGCTGTGTCCCAAAGCTGGAAATTTGGTAAATAGGGTAAGGTAGAAGGAACAGAGACAGAAACAAAAAGTTTCTAAAAAACATGTCTTTAGAGAGGCATTGATAAGAAAAGTAACAGTAACTGTCAACTGAGAGCAATAGGACATAAAGAGTGGGAAATCATTACATCTCGTGGTTGAAGGTGTAAGATCTAGAGCGAGACTGCTTGAGTTCAAAGCCTATAATTTACTAGCTGTATGACCCTAGTTACTTATAACCTCTTTGACCTTTGGTTTCCTCATTTATAAAGTGGGGCAGTAGTACTATCTCTTGGATTTATTGTGAGGTTTGAACGTGTTAGTATATAGAAAAGAATTTAGAATACAGCCTGGTATGCAGGAAATATCAGTTAAGTGTGTGCCTCTGAAAAGTGGTCCTGAACTGCCTAGAGTGCTTTGGGCATGTCCTCAAATTCCTCCACATTAAGGTGACATAGTCCTCCTTAAGGGCAGCTAGAAGGGTGGCTAATGTAAGTTAAGGTAAGGACATGGTAACATTCTCTGAGATGTAAAACGACTTTGGGCAAGTCACTTGCTCCCATCCATTAAGCCTCAGTTTCTTATCTATAAAACAGGAGGCGTACTGGATCTATACAGTGTGCATGGTTTCTGTGAGATCAACTATGAAAGTGCCTGGAACTAGAAAAATGCCTGGAACAGTAATTTTCGATAGAAGTTTTCTGAGTGTGAATCTGTCTTGTGATGTGGATGATGGGTGACAGGATGGAAATATTTCCTTCTGGGGAAGGGTGAACCTAACTGGTTTTGCAGCTGCCAGTAAAGAGGCTTCAGCTTTTGTAGGACCCCAGAGGAACTGACCTTTTAGGTCACTAAGGACATTGACATTAATCTTTTCCAGATTATCACAGATGTGAACAGGAAAAAATATGACAGCCTGGGTCTCTAAAATGGATTGGTGCAATGGAGTGCATCTCATGCTCTCCCCTGTGGGTTTTCCTCTCTAAAGAAAGGACCTTCCCAACCTAAAGGAAAAGGCTAACAGTTTATACATTATAGCTCCCAGCACTGCTGTCACTGGAAACTGCCATTTCTTCTCCTTCCCAGGGCACAGCTGGCTCACTTGGTAGGTATCTTGCTGTGACTTCAACCTTTTGCTGGGATCTCTGGCTCACCATTTAGGACCATGATGAATTTGACTGAGGACATACTTTCCCAAAAAGCCTTCAGGCTAAGACAGTCTCTCCCTACTTCGCATCCCTCAGTCCTGTGGGTCTCACATTTTGTAGGTTCTCTCCACTTTGCACAAAGATCTACTTTCTCTGGAGTGCTAGGAAAAGAAAAGGTGTGCGACTGAACAGGCAGTGCTTTCTTTTTAACTTTCTCCTCAAGGACATCTAGGAGGTCCTTATCACCACCAATGGCATTAAACATTACCCCCATTCATGAAGGGAGATCATGGGAGAGGTAAGCACCCAGCCAACTGACCACAGCTGCAAGTCCCAACCCAGGCCTTCTACAGAAATCCTTTCCTCCTTTTCTTCTCCATCTGCTCTGCCAGGGCTAACTGGGAAGCCCCTGGCAAGTTCAATCTATATTTTACAATGTGCAGCCCTCCCACCCCCCATAATCATTTATTAGAAAGGGGTTTTATGATACAAATTTGATAATCTCCCATGCACACTGGCACTGTTCTAATTGAAGTTGTAAGCCCATAAAATTCAAGCCCTTTGTCTTCCTGAAGGCCACAAGGTTTAAAAAGATACTATTGTCCAGCCTAACACCCACTACATTGTCACCAGGGACTGATTAAACAGAGTCCTGAATCAAAACAGCACGGATTTTGTCTAGGTCCTTTTCAGGCCTGACAATGCCCTTTCAATTCCCAAGACAAAAGGAGGTTTAAGGATGGAGATTCTTCTAAGATAACCACATCCATATGGAAGGCAAGGTGGCCGGCAGCTGAGACCCAAACACTCCCTTCCCCCTCTGTCGCCCTCTCCCCACCCTCCAAAATCCCAGGTGATCACACTGCCTACGCCCTTTTCTCTTCTTTGGAGGAGAAAGCCTGGGCCCCTAACAGGCCCAGTGTCCACTCTTCGCAGATCTTATTTTGAGTCCTTATTTCCCTTTCCTTGACCTGACACTGTTAACTGCTCTGCTCAGGCGCAGCTCTCTGCAGTGGGTGCGGGGGAACAATTTAGTAGTTGCTGCTCCAAGATATTGACTTGCCTGCACTGGAGGCCCTTCAGCGGTAGATACCCAAAGTGAAGGGCCCACTGTAAACCCAGGGAGTGAACACTAAGCCCCCAGCCTAGGGTGTGCACTGCGAGAGCGCGCGATAAAGCACTGTAGTTGATCCCACCCCAACTTCAGGCTACCAAGGCTCTCCCGCCCCACGATCCTCCCTCCGCAGTAGGATGAGTGTCCCCAGGGTCGCCTTGAGGGGTGCCCAGCGCCAGCTGTTTCCACCACTTTTTGATTTCTTCGCCACCGAACCCATCCCGTCCCATTCAGGCGAGAACTCAAAGCAAAGTGAAGTAGTCGCTGTCGTAACTATGGGGTCCATCTTCGGGTCCCAGCCGCTGCACCCTGGACACAAACCGCCAAGCTCTCAGGACTCTATCTGGCCAGCATGTCGCCAAAGAAGATCCTTACGCCTCGCCTCTTAGTGGCCGATAGGATTGGCTTTTGGTGTTTAAAATGCCAGGAGCTTCCGGAGTCCAGAGAACCATGAACATCACTCTGGGGCCAGAGCCACCACTTGTTGACCTGGTCTTCAGGATTGCCTCCGCTTCCTCCCCTCCACCCCCTTACCTTCCTAAAGTCTGTTGGACTGAGATCTGCCCTTCAGCCCGACCCCGGTGAGCCTTAACTTAGTGGACTGCACTCCGGGGAGCATGGCTGCAACTTATGTTCCCGGTAGGAGCGCAGGGGACCCAATCCTACACATTTTATTCTCACACCACAAAAAGAAAAAAAAAGTACTCTATTTCTTTTAAAAATAAGTTGCCTCTCATACAAATCGCTATTTTAAAATACACACATAAGGCTCAAGCAATAAAATCTAACTCTGGGGTTCGCGATCGAGGGAAGAGGGAAAGGGGAGATCTCGGTGAAAGTCGCCTGCGTGTGCTTTCCTGAAGGCTGGTTAAAGCGGGCCAGGAGACCCAAGAGGTGGGGTCTGTAGTTGGGGGGAGCACCCCAGAGCGATCCAGGTCTTTGGGTTATGCCCTACTGTGGATAAGCGGGCACCAAAGTCCGGGGTAGCCCCAGGTTCCCTGCGGTCGCCTCACCAGTTCCAGGAGACCAGGGCGGGGGGCGCTAAGTGCTGGTAGGCCGGGAAGAGGCCGAGCGCCGAGGCGGGCCCGAAGGCAGTATAGCCGGGCAGAGGGCAGGCGGCGCTCGGAGAAGCGCTGTATTTGTCCTGAGCCACCGCGGTGTCTGCTTCACAGCTGCGTCTATTCGATGGTCCGTCGTGCACCAGCACCGGGACCACGAAGCGGCGCATCAACCCCTGCGCCGCGCGCAGCTCAGCAGAGGCTGCGGGGTCCGGCGACTCCGCGGTCCCCGGCACGCGCGCGCGCTTCAGCTTGTAGCGATGGTTTTGGAACCAGATCTTGACCTGCGTGGGCGTGAGGCGCAGCAGGCGCGCCAGCTGTTCTCGCTCAGGTGCCGACAGGTAGCGCTGCTGCCGGAAGCGCCGCTCCAACTCCAGTGTCTGCACTTTGGAAAACAGAACCCGCCGCTTCTTCCTCTTCTCGCCATCCGAGCCGGGAGACGCGGGCCGAACAGACGCCAGCTGCGACGAGTCTGGCGGGCTTGTCTCCAGGCTGCTCTCGTCCGAAGCTGGGAACGGAAAAGGAGACACTGCCTAGTAACATGCCAGTTCCTCCGAGTGTTTGGACCCTTGTCCCGCAAGCTCCCAAGCCGCCTGCCGGAGGGCGACCCTACCTGCACGAAGCTATCAGAGCCAGGCAATTTCCTCTTGTGGGTTCACATCTGGGCTCCCACCTCTCCAAATTCAGTGACCTCATTTATCTCACTACAGTAATCATCAGGTCTAGAAGATCACTCCCCAAAGAAACCGATCCTGTGCCCTCTTAAAAATAACCCCTCTAGCTGCGCTAGTAAACCAATTTACCCAAGCTGGGCCACCAAGGGCCACCTCCAGGTCTACTGTGCTACGGTATGTCAAAGTTTTCGAAGCCCTGAACAGGGGCATATAAGGAAGGGGTTTTAAATATTTAAATATCCCGACCCTTAGGACTCTCCAAACACTGAAACCAAATCCCCTGCACTAGTGCTAGAAGCAGGGTTCTGCTCTCAGCATGTGCGGACCCTGACTTATGGCATAGGGATTTGAAGACTCTCCAGCCTGCAGGGGCCGGGCCCTGGGATCTGCTCTCCCTCTACCACCACCACCACCACCGCCGCCACCGCCGCCGCCGCCGCCGCCTCCGCAGTCCTTGGATCACTCACAGGGGTAGTGGCTGCGCTCCGACTGCAGCCAGGCGGCGCAAGGATCGACCTGTGGGACGCGTGGCTCTGCCTCCAGCCTCGCCCGGGGCTGCGCGTCCTGCTCGGGTAAATTCAGTAGGCTGCGCACGGTGAAGCCGAGGCGTCCAGAGGTGGCCATGGCCAAGGAGGGGAAGAAGGAGGGGGCAGGGCAGACTGGGAACTGAGGGGCGGCAGAGGACGCCGCTCCTAGGGATGGACCTGGGAGGCGCTCGCCATGCGCTGGCCACGGGGGATATTAGCGTATTTACAACGGAATCCCTGTTTATATATACAGCTCTTCCCACCCGGTACGCTTTGAAAACCGAAGTCCGGGGCTCCAGGGTGTTAAGTACCTGAATGAGTGCTGGACCAAAGCCCGGAGGAGCCCGGAAGGTGCCACCTCCGCCCCCGTCCCGCCCAGTCCCCCGCCCCTCTGCGCCCCGTTACCTCCCAGAGACAGCAGGAAGCAGCCCTCGGCTTTAGCGATTGTCTGATTAGCCCAAAGTGGGAACAGATAATGGGGATTGTTACCAGTGAATAACGTCTTGGGTGGCGAGCAGTGTCCACCACCCTCCTGACCAAGACCCAACTTTGTCCTCCTCCTGGGCTGACACCGGGCCTGGCCCGGCAGAAGCACCGGGAAGGATGGGGACAGCAGGGGTGGGTTTATGAGCACGCAGGAATTTATTCCCTGTTTGCTTTATTCCTCGAGGGTGTTTGCTGAAGTAGAAGCTTCCCGCAATTATCTAGAAAGTGATTTACAAGCTGAGTTAAATTCTGGCGCGCTCCCTTTCTCCGTTTTGGTAGGACCCCTCTAAAGATGCAGGGCGAGAAGTTCTAGAAAGGAGCAGAGAGAGGCCAGGTCTTGCCAGCATCTGGGAGTAGGGTTTGGAAGACCACTGAGAGAATCTCCACACCTCCAACTTTTCACAACCTCAGGGGTGCTTGCTAGGAAAGAGCTGGAGGAGTACAGAAAGTCCCAGATCCTTGCCTGTCTCCCCAGGCCGCCAAAACGGAGACAGTATATGGCCAAGCTACTCAGTACTGAAGTGCCCACCCGCGCCTGGCTACTGGTCTCTGGGACCCGGCTTTGTAGCTGAGTACCGCAAAGCTGGACCCAGACCCGATCCTAGGACCCATGATTGGTAGTGTTTCTTAGGGCAGCCTACAAAGGCTTTGAGGCTTCCTTGGCATGGCTAGACCGTGTGGCGTCATCTGTGCCCCATAGCCTCAACATCAGTCCAGGTGCCTGGGCTGGGCCATCGCCACAGCGGGCAGGTGGCCTGCCCTCCCTGCACACCTCAGCAAAGTTGCCAGTCCTGATACCAGAATGGGCTGATTGGCGGAATTAACACGAGGTCCGCCCAGCAGAAAGTACAGCTGGCCAGGGGTTTCTTCAGGATCTTGTAATTCCCACGGCCCCACAAGAAAATGATCTATGTAGGATGCGCATGGAGCCGGCAAGGTGAAAACATTCTTTGCCTGGAACACTTCTGTCTAGAGTTCAGTTGCTCTGTGGCGGAGGCCTCTCTCCCTGCAGCTAGTGGTTTGGGTATGGTTTTTAAATTTTAGGGATGAGCACTGCGTTTGGTGGCTGTACCCGAAATACTGGCTCCATAGGGGCTGAATTCGAACCTAACTGGGACGTGATGGCCGGGCTCCGCCCAGCCTGCCGGCCCTCCCCAACCTCCCTACCAAGCGTGCCGGAGTTGCCCCGGGCTGCGCTGCGCGCTGGGTGGTCAGGCCGAGGCTACCCCAATACAGCCCAACTGCTAGGCGGCGGACAAAAGGGAAATGGAGCTCGAAGCCCCGGACCTGTTGGAAGCATTTGTTCCAGTCAAGATTTTGCATTTGTTCAGTCCGGGAATAATGCGTGATTGACGCTTGCACACAATGCGCTTTAGCTCGCCGGGATAAATCGGAGCTTGTCCGGTGTTGTCATGGTTTTCAATGCGGTTCAATGGGATTGGGAACACGATCGACTCTGCTGGCCGTCTTGCTGAGGCTCTGGCAATAGATTTATTAGTTATTTCTTTTAAAATAAGATTAAATTGAAATGACTGGGCTGTCCTCAGCAGACAAGACTGGGGCAGGAGCCAGAGGTGGGCAGGGGGCGGTGGAGAAGTTCAGACCTGAAAATCGGTTTGCATCTTAGCTCTGCCCCTAGCTCCTTCTAATCACTTCATTACTGTGAACACTCGCCCCCACCCCTCATCTGAAACTGAACAGATTTGGCAATAGGATCCCATTCCTCCGGAATTTTTCCGAACCTATCTTCATTGCGACATTTTACAGCGGACCTTTTGTCTCCTTTCTCCATGCCTTTCTTCCCTTCTAGTCCCCAGGACTCTGATTCCAGTTTGTCCAGGATGTTCTGGGAGAGGACGTGTCATCTTTTGAGTTTGCCAAGGACCTTCCACAGAAGTAGGGTGAGGCAGATAACAATTTTGGAAAGAGAACCACATCAGGAGAAGGCTCTTTTGAAACTTATTCTGGAGTGACTGACCTCTCTTAGCCTTTTAATCTATTTAACATCCTAAGACCACACCGATGTGTAGAAATAAGTAAATGGCACTCTTCAGTTCTTAAGAGCTCTTCAGCATCAAATATTTGTTCTTACTCTTAGTGTGTGGCTCCCAAAGCAGGGATACATTCCCCATCTAGCAGTTATGCCTTGGGGAGAACTTGGGTCTAGAATAGACTCCAAATACTACTTCTAGCTTCACATTCCTAGGCTTGGGAACAGTGTTCCTGGGCCCCATTGTGGATGTAGCTGTTCCACAGAAACCCTGTACCTCTGGGCTCTACAAAGCACCGAAACTTCCCTGCTTGGTCTTGGATTCCCTCTTTCTAGAACCTTAAGCACCACCACCATAGCCCAACCATCTTTCCCATTTCTGTTCTGGGCTTTACCTAAATTCTCTGCAAGAGTTGGAGCCTGAGAACTCCAGGAGGCTGTTCCATATAACTGTGCCTTCTGAGGAAATGAAAGAGAGGAAGTGGAGAGCCAGAATTTTTAGAGAAAGGGGCTGTCTTGGTCTCTTCATGTCAATAGAACTCAAAAACTTGAAAGTAAAAATTTATTTTAATATTGAGTGAGTAGAAAAATGAATCACCTCTAGTTACAATTTACATCACAATTAAACATCTCACTGGATATTCTTTACAGATTTTGAAATGTCATTTGGTGTTCCACACACTTGACCTTATTTTGCAACTGGACAGAGTTTGTGAATATTATTACTTAATTAAATAACTATTTGCTTCCCTGTAATTGGGTGTAGTACATCTCAAGACAATAAAGAGTTTTTAATCTTTAGGAATCTGTGATGTGGTGAATATATTTAAGCTGTTTTCACCAAGCATTCTTCCAAAAGTCTTATCCAGATGATCATCACAGCTGTGTGCTTAAGAATTTAAGACTAAGAAATTCTAAAATAAAAGTTAAGCATCTTGATTTTTGAAAAAATAAAAAGAAATAGATTGTGTCTATATCTTGCATTCTGTTTTTAAATCCTTCCATTTTGGTTAAGTGTTTCACAAAATCCTGCAAATCTATACAGTACTGAAGAGGCAACATTGCAAATTCCCCTTGATGGATGGAGGGCCCTCAACTGCCAGGACATTTTTCTTTGCTTCATAGCAACTGCTCTCACCTCTTTACCAGTATTCTGGTTAAAACAGGGAAAGGAAAATAAAAATGGGCTTTTGGCACTTCCAAGAAGTAGATGATCTTCTGTCATAGGACAGGAAGAAAAAGCAGCATTTAAAATCAGACCTCTTTGCTTTTTCTTCTGAAAACTAGTTGCCATGAATAAGTAAATATTTCTCTTTTAATGGCTAATAATCAATTGCTTGGTGGTGGTCAGGGCCTGGCTGCAATTCTTTCTTAGCTGTGCTGATGATATATACTCAAAGACAAGGAACAGCAATTACTTTCTGGCTGGGAATTCAGTCTGTCTTGAAATGAGCTATAGATTTTATTGTTTTATGCTAAATGACAAGATTTGAGCTCTCCTATCTCAAGTCTCTCAAATTACTGATTTTTCATTGACTTTGTTGCTATTGTTCCTGATCTCTAGGGGGAAAGTTTTTCTTTCCTCATATGCTTAACTAGTGGTTTAAGTGTAGTTTGTACATGAAAAAATATATAGAGGGCAAAACAGTTCTGTAAATAAAAAAAGGATTTAAATATCCATACTTTCCTTTTCTTAAAGAGCCAACATGTTTTTAATTTTTAACTAGCTTATTAGTTTATTAACTATTTGTGGTACTTCCCATGCTTTCCAGTGATATAATAAAAGTGTCTGTGTTGGCATGATATATAAATTATCATAATAAAGATAATTATACAACTTGGGGGACTCTAGTGTCCCAGAGCTGAAATTCTTATTTTTGTCTTTTTTTTTTTTAAGGTACTAATTTCTACCTTTTGCTTGACTAATACGATATAGTTCCTAAAACACAGAATCCTTATTGGATTTTTTGTAATAAAGGTCCAGGTACTAAGTCAAACTCAATGTTATATACAGTCCCTAACAAGCCAGACTGGCCCCAGGAACACATTTAACGACACTGCCCAGTACCTCCCACTGGCCTGCTTGGAGTGCATGCTTAAAATCAACACCAGCATCTCAGTTCAAGCCATTATTTAAAAAAAAACAAAAACCTACCCATGCATTAGAATGGAGCTTTAAAAATTATCTTTAGTGTATTTTAAATCAACTTTGGAAATTTGTTATATATTGTTGATGTGAGATATTATTTCTCTCTTATTTCATAACTGTTTAAATACCAATCATTCTGGAGAATAATTTGTTACTATTTGGCAAAGTCAGTCTCTCACAGACTAAAGAATCAAACATTCAATTCCTTTAAATCAGGGATGATGATGATGATGATAACAGTAGTAATAAAAATATCACTTTATATTTTATACATTTGAGAACGTGTTCAGTGTGCACTCATTCTCTCATCCTGATTCAGGATAGATTATCCAGGAGAAGCAAAGCTTAAGGGTAGTCTTGAAGGTAAATAGACTGTAATATCCCTAGAATTGAATCAATTAGTTGACAGAATAGAGAGGACCTAAAGAAGAGTTTATTTAACAGAGGGTGTCAGAAACGAATGATTTAAAAG